GAAGAAGAAGAATGTTGCCAAATAGCTGGCGTGCCAAGGTCCATACTACTAAGCCAAATTCTTTTCTTGGCTCAAACGTTGTACAGGTCTCCTAGGCAAATACAAGCACAATTGAAAGAAAATTGAATGTCTCTCTGCAAGGAGAAAAGCCTGCTTGCTTAATTTTCCTCATTCTTGTGCCTTTCACAATGGTTTGGAGAAACAGACTGATTCTGGTTGCAGAAGGATCCTGGTTTAGCAGGTTTGGGGGGCTCTTCTCTTTAGATGGTGCTGTACACAGTGCTCAGATGATGGAGACAAGGGTAGAAATGGCCACAAGGATACACAAAAGCTTCTTCTCCTGAGTGTTTTCAGGCTTAGTCAAATCATGTCCCTCCACTGCAGCCTTCTCAAAAAACCTCAGCATGTGTGTGTCACAAAACATAAGACAATGACCCTCCAACTATTTGACATCCAGCTACATGAGTACCTGTGTAGATATAAAACAATCACCAGTGTTCAATAATTCCACAGAATTAATGCCTCAGGATAATAAATAATAAACCAACCTTGTGTTTGCCTCTCAATGACCAAGCAAAAAAATAAAGCAAACTAATTTGCTCATTCTAGGATAATCGAATATTATTTACTAATTATGAAAATTATTTACTATCACATCATTGAGATGTGAAGATGTGGTCACACCTTCCAAAGCCTTCTTTTGACCTTCCTGGGGCATACCTTGGAGCAGTGCAAAATAAAGCAAAATAAACACCAGTTTGACCATAATGAGATGTACACAAAATGTGTATTTGTTAGGTTGTGGCAGCACTGCACAACAGCCTTAAACAGTGTCATTCTGTGCATGCTTCATTAGAAATATCCCGAGTTTAACATTAGCCCTGGAGCAGGTTTGCATAAAACTATCTTGGTCTCTTTAAAGCTGCTCACAGCTTTACAGCACAATCCTCTGTATGAACACCCAAATGTAAGTCCTTTTGACTTCCATGGAATCTGCACTTAAATAAATGTGCATTGCTTGCAGCTTTATGCTATAATTCTCTATCTATTTACCTGTGAGTAAGCTCAATTAAACACAGTAGGATGTACTTCTGAGTAAACATGGGTAGAACTGCACCTTTTAATTTCCTGAGCAGTGAATCTAAGCCATTTTCCTTGCTCTACTGATTCATAAAAAAAGAAAAGAAAGAATCATGGACCTTATTAATACTGAATGGTAAGTGGAAAAGTTTAGTTGTAGCTGTATGGTTTTGAAGCAATCGCTTTGACAGAATCTCTGCGCTTCAAGTCCCTTTGGAAAAAACATTCTAGCTACTCTTCAGAAGGCATACTGTACTGCAGGAAAACCTTCACTCAGAAAAGCCTGCATATCTCCTCATATTATCTCATTTCCCCCAGTTTTGTTCAAATAAACCCTTCAGAGCCTGTACTTAAAAGTGTTTTAGAATCATTTTTGTAAGCTGAAAGCTCTCATTAGCCTTTACTACAGACATTCAGCACACACACAAAAATTGCATTTCTAATACTTGGCACTTTGTGTACATATTTTTATACATTCTGCATTGCTGTTTGTTTCAAAATAAAGAATGTACCTTACGTAAAAGACAGTTTGTCCACTGTTGCCAAATGCCACCATATGTGAAAATTTAATCCGACTGCCTCATTTTGATGCTGAGGTATTAATCAAAGGTTAAAAAAAGATAGTTTTTGCTAATGTGTAGATGCTACTACTAATTATTATTTGCCTTTTAAAATGCAGACTGCTTTCCATCCTCTGATGTGTCCTTTTTTAGCCATCTCCCTAAATGGCACACTTTTATAATCTCAATAAGGTCTGACAGCCAGCGTTTCTCTGGGGAATTACTGCATGGACTAAGTGCCTCAGAGATGAAAGAAAGTGATTGATTCCAGACACTAGGGCACAAGCTTCAGTCTGAAATGCACTGCCATGATCTGCAACTTTATAGTTTTGTATAATAATAGTATTAGTAATAATACCAGCAGGTTCATAACAAAAAAGCACAAAATTTAACCTTAAACAAAATAATGGTGCAATCCAGTCTAAGTTAATCACTTATCAGTCTTATTGCTTTCAGTGGGAGGAAGGTACGGTAAATGCATGGTGTATAATGCAATCCAATACATTTTCATTCAGGCATTGGGTTCATTGAATTCAAATGGGGCTGGCTCTCACGTGAGAATTAGATCACAACCAAATCTCTCCATTTGTAATCAATGACACTGAATGTGTTTAATATAATCTGGATAATAACTAGTAGCATTACAATTACATGGCTTACTCTTTGAAAAAAATACACACATACTTCTCATTCCAGCTTAGGTTAACTGTTTCCAGGGCCTAGCATTTCTTGATGTGGTAAGCCCCTATCTGAGCTGTATTATTTCACCTGATGGGTAAAGGCTGTCATGGCTCCTTGCTCCTCCATCTAAAATTAAATGGAGTTATACAAAATTAGAAGGGACGTGGTGGCGCTGTGGGCTAAACCGCAGAAGCCTGTGCTGCAGGGTCAGAAGACCAGCAGTCGTAAGATCGAATCCACGTGACGGAGGGAGCTCCCGTTGCTTGTCCCAGCTCCCGCCAACCTAGCAGCTCAAAAGCATGCAAATGCAAGTAGATCAATAGGGACCACCTCGGTGGGACGGTAACAGCGTTCCGTGTCTAAGTCGCACTGGCCATGTGACCACAGAGGATTGTCTTCGGACAAAACGCTGGCTCTATGGCTTGGAAACGGGGATGAGCACCGCCCCCTAGAGTCGAACACAACTGGACAACAATTGTCAAGGGAAACCTTTACCTTTTTATACAAAATTAGATGCCATGAAGTACATCCAGGGCAAGGCTAGAACCCTTCTCCTTAAATAAGTCTGTGTAAAAGGATTTATTCATGCTTGGTTTTGTGGTGAAGCGTCCACCTTTTACCTCACGTAGTACAGCCCCAGACACAGGTTTAGCACCTGTACTGTTTTTTGTGACAGGTGACCTTAAGACCCATTGAAGGCACTGGGATTTTATCCATTTGTGACTATATTACTGGATTTTGTTTCAATGATGCTATGGCCTTTACTCACTGAGGCAGTTCTCTTGTTCCCAATGAATTCTGCAGAGTACAAGGTGTATTCCACAGACTAAAACTTCATATACTCTGGCGTGAGGAGAGAGGGATAAGTTTGAATGAACATGTAAGATTCTATCTCCTGAAGAAAAGAGTCAAGTGCCAATTCTATACAGTTATATTGCTTAAAACATAATTGCCAGTACTAAGGTATATTTGGCAGGACACACCCTCCTAAGCTTCTGAAGCAGCTTCCTCTAGCTACAGTAGATGACAGACCATTTGCCTGAAAGCACTAGGAGCACATATTCTAGCTCAGCCGCAAATTTCTCATCTTATTAGTCAAAAATGCAAATAGAATTAGGCAAAAGAATGAGAAAAATATGGAACTGGTAAAAAGGAGCTCAAAATATTTGCTTTTAAATGGCACAATGTTTTTTCAACATAAATGTGCTGTCATTTGTGCCACTTATGTGTCAATGCTTCCCCTAAAATCTTCTGAAGCCTGCAGTCAAGTCATCTAAGTCAACATAGATTGCTTTAAAAGTGTTATGCTTTCTACCATCACTGGGGAAAGAGAAGCGAATGTGCAAAAGAATATAAATTAAAGATAGCCAGAACATTACATCCAGTCAGTCTTTACTTTTTAATGCGTATCTAGCAGATGTCCTCTTCTATTCTTTTTTCTTCACTGTATGCTATTAATTAATATGCACAAAAGGGATTCCATCTTGTTGAATACTGTACAAAAGATGGGTTTAAAAAAAACCTTTAGACAATAGCCCACTCACTTAACACACTGCTTTCAGGAAATAACAACAGCTGGTTGTTTATTAAGTAACTGTTGAGACAAAACAATTACAATTAGTATTAGTAAAATTTATTTTGACCAAAATAACTGAGGTAAGAATTGCTTTAAAAATTACCCATGATCTGGGCAAAAAATGTATCTAAATTCCATTAACTTCTGGGGGGGGGGTTGCAATACATTCAGATGTATGTTTACTTAGGAAAAAGTCTAATATTCAACAATTTTTCAAAGAGGTAGCCATGTTAATCTGTTTCGGTATGCAGGCAAAACTGAAAGAAAATAAAGTCTTGTGGCACCTTTAAGACTAACAGATTTATTTTAGTGTGGGCTTTTGGGAATTATAATCCATTTCTTGGTACAGTGGAATTTAGGATTGTAGACTTACAGCACGGTCCTATGAATGTATACTGAGAAGTGGTATTTCACACAATGAGAATTTCGGCAAAGTAAACAAGTGAGGATTGTAGCCAATGAACACAAGGCTAAATTCAGTTTTAGATCCCATCAGAAGAAAAGCATTTAAAGCTGTAGAATGCTCCAAAGTGTTGACTAGAAAGTCCCATTCAATCGAACTGGTCTATTCTGCTTGGGACTAAAATTGATTTGGGCCTTTTTACCTCTCATACACAGAAATAAATGGAACTTAGAAGTGATTAAGTTAAACAGGATTGTTCCTCTTACGGGCAATCTACACACACACACACACACAAGTTCCTATTCCTTCTCTTTCCTCAATTAAGTTGTAATGGTTTATCATGCTAGAAAGCCACATCAGCTTCTTTTTAAATATTTCACTGTTTCAATAAATGGCATGTTGACATGCATCCTCTGGGTATGGCTTCACAAGTGAAGAGAAGGTGGGAACAGGCAGTACGCTGTTACCACATAGTGTTCTACAGAAGGTGGCAAATATATATCCCACCCAGAACAACAGAAGGCAAATTTATAATATATCAATGTTAAATTTAGTTTTTAGAAGGCAAACTAAATCAGGATAGACCAGAATATATTGTAGATGAGGGTATATAAGATATAGCACGAAATGGATTCCTTGTGATACCAACAATGTTACAACTTGAACTGATGGTAAAATAAGGTACTGCACATCACCTTGGTCTTGGTCACCACAAAGGGTATCTTACTCCAGATTTAATATAAGAAAAAGCCTATTACACTTTAAAATGCCTAGAGAGAAAGAAAGAAAGATACAACCCAAAACATTCTTTTGGAGTAACTACCCCATTCCCTCCCATAGATAGATATAGATATAGAAGCATAGCTAAACTGTTTGGCATTCGCAGCTTTGCAGGGCACAGGGCATGTAATACTGCAGAGAGAGAGAGAGAAATAACAATTTTAAAAAAGAAGGGAGGAAAGCACTGGGTGGCGGGAGGTCATTTTTGGCTTATTTGCGCTTAAGCATGGGCAGATATTTTAAAATCAAACAAAAAAAATCTCTAAAAAGAAGAATGGAAAAAAGAGGAAGACAGAACAAATACCGATAGGGAACCCCTTACAGAAAGGTCATCTCATTCTTGGTGCACTGCAAATTGGGCAAAAGGCAGTCCCACCCTCCAATGCTACTGATATGAAACTCCAGATGCATCATTTGGAAGCAGTCTCTCCCTTTCTGTTCCATCCCACCCCACCCCCTTCAGCTCTCCCTCCCTTTTCCATTCTTGTTGGTTGATCTAAAACAGTCCTTTAAATACCATTCTATGTAATTCCCAATAAAGGAGGTTAGGGAAATACAGATTTTTGCTATTCTGTATCATCTGGATTGCTTCTACGTATACATCACAATTGTATTGCCTGCACCATTTCTTTTAGGGCAGGTTATTTTTATATTTGGTAGCACTGTGCAGCTTTATCTTGTCTTCTCTGAAAGGAATAAACAAACAAAACAAAAGTGCATCCTTCCCCCTTGAAAAAGTCAATGAGAAACGCAATGCAATTTGTCATGCGTTTGAATTCAGGTGTGTTGATTGGTTCTTTCATTATTAATAGTAGTAATAATATTGTTTGATTTTTTTTCCTTCAAGATTATAATAGTAACCGTTGAAATATGTACAAGTACCAAATACTGTCTTTTGGTGAGGTCCCCACAAAAATCAATAAATAAAATCAAGACAATACCACTGTTTGAAAAAGCCCTGGAGTATCTGTGTCCAAACATGACAATTCAGGATGGGTGTTCTGAGGTTCTGGGGCAGACGTACACTGGACACTAGAATCCCGGGTGTTTCTTTCCAGCCTGGACAATTCTCTTCCTTCGGGTATTTCACAAGGATCACCCACTGCCTCGGTGGTGGTGGTGGTGGTGGTAGTGCTGGTGCAGTGGTCACGTTCGTATTCCTCCTGAGCCTTCTGCATTTTCCGTTTCTTCATCTTCCTTTTGTGGATGTGGAAAGTAATGAGAGAGAGGAGAATCAGGCAGAAAATGAGGGTGACCAAAACAATTAGAACAAACGTGGAAGAGAAAGACTGGAAGAGCTGCCCCATTTGTGTGATGCAGGTGCCACTGGCATTTGAAGAGCCAGATGTCCTATTCAAGAGACAAGGCGGCAGGGACAGCCTCAACTCCTTGGAGAGCTTGGCACTCATTGAGAAGGCTTTTTGGAAAGACGAGGATCGTCCTCCTCTCGCTGCAGATGCTTGTACTGGGGGATGCTGGCAACGATACCCTCCTTTTGGAAATGTCTTCCTTTCACACAGCCTTTCGCGCTCTCTCCTGCCTTTCCTTCTCCTTTGCGAGAGGAAATGAAGGACCACGCTGAAAAAAAATAAAATAAAAGAAGAATGAGTATTCTATCGCAGCCTCCCTTCCCCTAAAACAAAATACAGCAAGGCACTGAATAGAATAACCTTCTTATCTTCCATTATTTTCCCCTTAACATCTACCCGCCTCCCCCCCAATTTATCTTTGCAGACACAACATTCCCTCAATAATTAGCCTAAATACCAACACGCTTCAGTGGTGGTACTTACAATAAGGCGACACAGTCTGTTGGAGGTGGAGAAATTTAAACATGCAAGACAATGCCCTGGAAATTTGAGGGCTGCACAATAGCCATCCCAGCTGTTCCCCACATTCCAGAAAAGGACACACACACACACACGTGTGAAAGGATGAAAGATATATGAATATATGTTGGCAGCCTTATTCCATCACCACCCCTCCAATTACGCAGCAGCCTGCTCGTTGCTCCTGCCTGCCCATTCCTGCCACCACCACCACCACCACCAACTTCCAGAGCCCAGCAAAGTTTGCACTTAGGCGTCTTCCCTCCGGGCGCATCTTCTGGGGCTTCCCCCCTTCTGCCACCGCCGCCGCGGCCACCCTGCCCGGCCAGAATTCCCCGAGAAACCCGCACCGGCTGCTCCCGAGCGGCGCTGGGCTGGTGGGGGGGGGG